TCGGGTGAAACTAAAGTCCCCCCCCCATATGTCCAAAGCTCGATCCCACCACCATATCAAGGCCACTTTAAATGCCCCGATCCTGACGTGGGCAGGTAGAACATCCCAGGCGTACGGCAGCTTAGTGAGTAACGCCACTGGGGGAGGGCGCCACCAACATGTAGTCAGGGACGGGCTGGCCATTCATCAGGTTACTGATCCCCCCACAGAGGATCGAAAAAGATACCTTCACCTGATTACTGCGAGTTAGAGTGCCGCGCACACCGCCAGCGAAACGTGACAAACCTGGACAGCGAGTTAAGGTGCCGCGCACACCCCAGGCGTCAAAAAACAGTCAAACACATACCTTCCCCGAGGGTACTGCGAGAGTTAGCGGTGCCGCGCACGCCATGTGCTTGTCAGGAGGGAGATGGTGGTGTCACTTGGGCGAAATCACGACCACGCCTGAAATCATAGAAGGGATCCAGAGGCACAAAGAAGGGCTCAAACTCCTCCCCGAGGTCCCAAGGCGGCGGTCCAGGATCGGGCCCGAACTGGTCCTGGATAGCGACGAAAACGCTCATGGCCATCAAACGGCACATCTCCGAGGGATATGTTTTGGCCCGCGCAGTCTGCCAAGCCCCAGTAGAATCTCGGCCCTGAAGGACCTGGACGTGCGCATTGTGTTGGCATCTCCCCTGGTGCGGCAGCTCATTAATCATCTGATTGAGCCTGGGGACATGAACACCCAACAAGGCCGTAGGTTTCTTCGCACAAAGCCCAAACATGCACTGGTCAATCCTGTGTAGTTTGACCCCCAACTGTCGGGCCAGCTTTGAAAGGATGGGGAGATGCCAACTGCTGGGAACATTAGGACGATGCTCGGCCGGGGCGGGGTGCTCCATGATCGCTGGTAGCCCAAGCTTCCAAGCGGAAATCAGAAATTCAATGGTGGTTCTTAGCAAGGCATTCCCCACCCCGACCTGTTCTCGTTCCTTGGGAGCGATGTACTTTAACCCCCAGAGCTCACTAGGCGCCCTCAGTGGCCGAGGGTGAGGCCCAACGGCTTCGGGGGGTACAGGGTTATGACGAGCAGCACTCCAAGTCTCACAGGGGGTGCCTGCGATAACCCCTGCAACCCACCCCTGCTCCATAAGACGTAACCAAAAAGCAACCGTGGAAACGTCACTTAAATCACCAGACTTCGGACTGTTAGCTATATCAATAGAGAGCACAACAACCGGGGTGGGATACTGAGCAACAAGTCTCTCAATCCAATCCTGCACGTCGTCAGCACGCCGTTGGCCCGAGAAGAGGTGGAGAAGAAAGCGGAAAGGGCGAGAGGGGGGCGGAGCAGGAGAGAAGGCAGGAAGGACAGGAGGAGGCGGGGGGGGGGCGACGGGCTCGACCACGAGGGGTTCTTCCTCCAAGACACGGACCCCTCTGACTGGTCCAATCATGCGAACCCTGGGCAAGTGGGCGAAATCATCCGTCAACCCCTTGGCCCTGTTGGCCTGCTGCTCACAACGCCGGGTAGCCCGAGCCTCATCGACCTCATCCTGAGTGGGACGCACACCACAGGCCACAAGGCCTCGGAAACAACTTTTGGACCTAGCTAGGTGTTTATACAACCTCCCATTAGAACGGTAGTCCCACCCACAAATAGAGCAGCAGGTGCCAACGGCCATCATAGCTGGGGATGTGGGGGTGGGGTGTTGCTTTCCCCTGTGAGCGCGCAATGCGCGCTCTGACTTGAACAGCTGGCCGCACTCGTAGCACATGTAGGATGTCACCACGTCCACAGCGTCCACGTCCATGGGCGTGCCGGCTAACGCCTCGTGGACCCTGATGTCCCACAGGTGGAGCAGGTGTCGGTCACTCCACCACTCTCTCGCTCTACGGATGACTGTTTTGATTGTGGCCCGAAAACGCTGGGGGTCCATCTGAAGTGCAGCTAGCCACTCGTCGAGCCCCCCCGTCCCAGGGACCGAATCAGGATCCATGAGAGAAACTAACCAATCGAAACTCGCGGCCAAAGCCGAGACCCAGCTTCTCCGATGCAGGAGGGAAACGTCAAGAAGGGTCAGCAAGTATCGCGGCGCGAACTTGAACATCCTAACTAGGAAACGCAGCCTGGGGACATGAACAACGGCATCCCAGGGAAGTCGATCCGCACGAGCCAAAACATCCCAATGCGACAGATGGTGCTCGGGCGAGTTGCTGGCAGGAAGTCCAAGCGCGCAGCGATACAAGAACTCGTGGCAACTCCGCACTCTAGATTGAACGGCCTGTGGCATGGGGCGCCATAAACATGAGGCATAAAATAAAACAAACAAAAAAAAAGAAAAAAAAGAAAAAAAACAAAAGAAAGAAAAAACAAAAAAAAAGAAAAAAAAAAAAAAAAAAATAAAAAAAAAAAAAAAAACAAAAAAAAAAAAAAAAAAAAAAATAAAAAAAAAAAAAAAAAAAAAAAAAAAATAAAAAAAAAAAGAATAAAAAAAAAAACAAAAAACAAAAAAAAAAAAACAAACAAAAGAAAAGAAAAAAAACAAAAAGAATAAAAAAAAAAAAAAAAAAAAAAAAAAAAAAAAAACAAAAACAAAAAAAAACACAAAAAAACAAACCAAAAAAAGCATCTGCTGGATCCGAAGGCTTCCGTGTACAAGATTTTGGCACGGAGAGGAAGGGAGAGGCGGGGAGCGACGGTGGCCTTGATGGGCCTGACAGCGGCCCTGGCAGACATAGAACGCGCAGAAATCTCCAGCCCTTCGGATCCAGTGTCAGCGAGAACTACCCCCAGGCACTTGCGTGAGCGCACGACGGCGACTTTTACTTTCCACTGGGGGGAAGCTAAGTAGGGCTCCGCCTGATCGAAAACCTCCCGATGGGCCGCCTGTGAGCCACGCCCCCGAAATCTCAACATAATCTTTGTCTTGCTGGGGTTTAAGGACAGCCCGTGACGAGCACAAACCGCAAAACAATATCGATGAGTTCCCCGAACATCTGTAAGAGTTCAGCTGGATCAGGGGAGGCCACGGAGGGGGTGAGGTCGTCAACGAAAGAGACTGAAGCGCACACTTCATCGTGTTCGACCGCCGAGGAGAATACTCGCACAGAGGGGGTGGGAAGCCACCGAATCTCTCTCATTTCCATCTCGGCTTCTATCTCCTCTTGAACGCTAGCGAAAGCAATATTAAACACGTCTGTCGCCATCACGGTGCCAGGACGGCACCCTGTGCGAGGAATAACGTATCCATCAGCTCCTCCCACGGCCCAGAAGGCCCCCCTTTGAGCCTCCCGTAGTAGGGCGACTAGATGGGGCTTCTCAATAGTCTGATCAAAGATGGGGCCTGTGATCAGCTGAGCACGAACGCCCGCAGCTAATATTGGAGGCACTGGGAGCTCATCCAAGACTTCACTGAGCATCTCCCCCTCACCTGGTAAATCATACACCAGCTGCCGGATAGTGGAGTAGAAGGCAGCCGTAAGATCACAAAACAGGGACCCACATGAAACCCCCCGCGCTTCAGAGGCCGCCCA